AAGATCTTGAATACTATATATTGTTGACTGGAAAGACTTGTTTTTTCTTTATAAACACTTATAGAACTTTAGAAAAGGTCACTATCCGGCATATCCAGCAAAAATATCTGGTACACCTCTACTTAAAACTGTAAATATTATATTTAAAAAAATTGATTGGACACTGTCCGACCCAAATATGTTTTGATCAGACATTTTGTCCAGGACTTTTTATTTTATCCAGGAATTTTGATCTTTGTTAGAGTAAAGATCTTTCATGATCTTGAAATGAAATCTTGAATGCTCTAAAATCATTGGATGGAGCCTGAGCTGCCACCCAGTACTCATTGATTCCGAGTTGTTGTTGTAATTCTTCAGCCATTGTATCTGTTAGCCATTTGTATTACAGATACAATGAATCAGCCATAAATCTTACTTTGTGATGTGCAACTGGTTGTAGAAACCTGAAGTTCAGCAAATCTCCTCTGAAGTAAATAGCTACCAGTTACATAAATCTGCTCTGAGGAAAAAAGCTTCCAGTTGACATAAATACTTGTAATCATCTCTGTCAAAAATACTTGTTTTAAGAGCTGTTGTGCAGAACTGCATTGTTTCATTTTAAAAGAGGGTTACAAGAGCAAAGTCAGGTCTGTTAGAATTAAATTTTTCAATGTTGGCCAATGTATTCACAGCTTTTTCAATCTTAGACCAAACATCTTGATATTTTTGGTATAAGAATTGACTGAGTCCCTTTGTCTCTCTATGCAATTCCATCATAACATGATGAACATGAACATGTTGTTCAATTTAATAGCGCTTAAATTTATTATTATTATCATTTTCTGTCATTACTCTCAGAAAATATAAAAAGAAAAAAAATGACTGTAAATTATTTAGTAAAGTTCATAGCTGAAATTGGACAAGGTAGAGAATAAACTGCAATATTTCTAATTGCACATATGTTTTCCAGTGTTTGAGCAAGTTGTGTCAGCACAACAAACTAATAAAATTCTAAAAGACTTTGGATAGCCAAAGCCTGTTCTTTCTTTGGAGGAGGGTACTTCAAATATTCCCAGAAGAAAGTCAAGTGAAACGGACTCAGAATCAGAAGAAGCACTAATTGGCTTTCTACTGTTTCCAAAATCTTGACCTCTGCCTTGTACTGTTTGATCAACTTTGTGTCAAAGTAAAGAACAAGTTTTAAACCCTTTATCTTATCCAGGTTCTGCTATCTTACTATAAGTGCTTCATTCTTCACAATTTCATTGTTTTTTCTTACCATCTTAGAAACCATCTTAGTTTTTTCTTACCATCATGACTTAGAAACGTTCAGCATGTCAATATCTACTCACCCAGCTTGGAGTAGGGATGACAACATTGCTGTTTTAGCTCTCATACTAACTTGATACCTAAAAAAAATAAAGCATTTTTTAAATTATGTAACATTTAAGTTATTTTAACTTGAAGTTTTATATATACTTGTAATATACTTCATTTTTTTATAAATAAACTTATTTACCTTGCCATAAATAGAATCCACTTATCTGAAACATCATTCAGACTGAGTTAAAGGCAAATCTTGGTTAAATTATAAAATATTTTTTTGTATGCAGTAGGAGTCTCAAAGTCTAAACAATATTCTGTTCCACTACACCCACTGGAAAATTCTTGCTCAAAATTTCTCAAAGTTTCTTCTTCTGCTGCTTTTTCCAGTAATTGGCTTTCTTTTTTTTGCCCAACAATTGCTTCTTCTACCATATTCCTCAGTCTCATCTTTTCCTCACCAGTTTCTCATTTTTTCCTCACCATCAGCAACTACTTCAGCAAATGTTTTGTCATTTTTGTAGAACATCTTGACCATGTCTCATTTCAAACATCTAATCAAAAAAATTGAATCCTCCTTTACAGCCTCGTTACTCCTTCTAGGATCCTGGCTAATTAACTTGAAAATGTCTTGTCTATAGGAAACAAAAACATTGGCCTTTTCCCTTAAAAGCCTATTATACAAGCCAGCAGTACACGAAGCAGCTTGCACTGAGTTACATGTTACCAGTAACAGGATAACCTGACTAGACCTCAAAAAGCTACTATTATAATTCACAGCCTATGTTATAATATAAAGTTTAAGTTGCAGTTATAGTGTAATGAACAAGTTATAATGTAATGAGCAAGTAATGCATTTAATACTATTATACAAATATTACAATATTAATTTTAATAACTGCTTTTACCATTATAATTAAAAAAAGTTAAAGTAAAATGGTTACCATGATACTTAAAAAAGTTAAAGTAAAAACGCATATATTATTTGTTATTTGTTATAGAAAACTATTTAATACTTTCATGCTGACAATAAAACACGTTTTATTTTCTCAGAGTATTGAATTGTTATTGTAAAAAGCTATAAAACAACAATAAAATAATACTCCAAAATTGTTTTGACAATTTTGGAGTATTATTTTATTATTAATATATATATATATATATATATATATATATATATATATATATATATATATATATATATATATATATATATATATATATATATATATATATATATATATATATATATATATATATATGTATATATATATATATATATATATATATATATATATATATATATATATATATATATATATATATATATATATATATATATATATATATTTATATATATCAGGCCTTGCAATAAAGTGTCGGGCGATGTGAATTTTACGTCATCCAAGAGGGATTTTGCCTGTAGCTAAGGCTATTTGCGTTAAGCAAAAAAATTTTTGTTTGAGTATATTTAAAGATATTTTTGAGCGGAACTTTAATGAAGTAATTTACGATTATTTTTACATTTAATAAAGTATTTTAAAAAACGCACGCAGTTGATATAAAAGTTTGAATTACAAAAAAATTAAATATGCTCATTATTTACAAGTAAAAAAAATTCAGATTAAAAAAAAAGTTTAAATCTTTTTAAGCTAATATTTTAATAAAATTATTCAATAGCAAAGTTGTCGATAAAATTGAACAAAAATACTTTCTTTTAGTTTTAGATTTTTAACTTAAATAATTATTTTACGGGGGTTTGTTAGGTTTTAAAATTATTTCATAGATTTAAAATTTTTTATTAACTGTTAGACGTATTTAAAGTATTTAAGAGTAATTTTAAGGAAACATTTAAAAATTGGTAAATGCAAATAAAAAAAAATAAAAGGATTAATATTACAACGTATTCTACTCGATTCAATAAAAAAGTACAGTTATTAAAATTTTTGTAAAAAGTAACTCAAAAAAAATTACTTAAATAATAACAACTGCTTTTTTGTTAAAAGTTACTGAAACTCAACGAAGCGTGCTCAAGAACAGCTGCTGAAAAATTGAAAGTCAATAGTTTGATAAGTTTATATAACCTGGTTTTGTTACCCGGTTTCTACCAATGTAAAACAAATTTCCACAAACACCCTGAAAAAGGCTCAATAAACGTAAAAAATAAAATAAAAATTAATTCTCATATTTAACCACGTAATGTTTTCTTTTTTTTATTTTAGCGCACCTTTTATTAAATATTGTTCAATATGCAAATTTTTTCGCTGAAATTGTCTTTTATACCTATAAGATTTTTATTCTAACATTTTATTTTATTTTATTTTACTAGAAATAAAATTCCTTGTAAACATTAAAAATCTATTCAAAAGGTTTGTTAAAGTTTTTTAGTAATACGAGTGATTGTGCTTATCAACCGCTTTAAGAAAATAAATAAAAATAAATAAATAAAAAAATATTATATAAAATTGCTGGTAAAAATATTAGCTATTGCACAGTTTTTAATCGTACAATATTAAAATTTCCAGTTTATTACTCACTAACTTTTTAAAAAGAAAAAATAATTATTTGAAAAACTTTAAATTACATATTTGAGAAAGAAAAAAAATCAAATATTAGCATACTTTATAATGAACTTACAAAAGAAAAAAAAAAGGGCTTATAAAATGTATTCTAGTAAACATGGTAAATTAAGTGCACAAATAGTTTTGTACTCAATACATTGAGTAGTACATTAGAACGAATAAAAAACATTAGAACTTTAGTTCTAATGTTTTTTATTCGTTTAATATAGACAAAACGTGTCAAACGTCGAGAAAATAAACAAATGTTTTTACATTTTAAAAAACAAAACATTCCAAAACATTTTTAAATAATAAAATTTCTACATTAATGATTTAAAGTAGTTTTGCAGTCGATAAATATGAAAAGCAAATAAAAATAATTTAATGACGTCAAAAATCACGTCGTGCTTATACGTCGCGCAGTTTTTATTTATCAAAAGGCCTGATATATATATATATATATATATATATATATATATATATATATATATATATATATATATATATATATATATATATATATATATATATATATATATATATATATATATATATAACAAACATAATGTACAAAGAATGTACTACTCAATGTATTGAGTACAAAACTATTTGTGCACTTAATTTACCATGTTTACTAGAATACATTTTATAAGCCCTTTTTTTTTTCTTTTGTAAGTTCAACACTAGTAAATAAATTTTTTATTCCTTTTTTTTTTGAATACTCTAAATTTAGAATACAAAATAAATAAAAAAATTCATACTTCTTACAAATATTTATATAAACTTACAAATAAATATAGAAATAAATAATTCTGCTTAAGAGTAGTGCAAGGTTTTTTTCACACTGTTTCTGATTTGTAAAGTTTTAACAATTCAAAAAGAGCGTGACATTAGCTTATGTAGTTTGATCTAAAACCTAGTGCAGCAGAAGATTTAAATTAATTTAAATTAATTTTAGATTTTTGTTTAAAACCAAATAATAATAAATTGTACTACTGGCATGTTTTTTAATGGTATAAAAGTATGTACTAAAATTTAAGTTAAATATAATAAAATCAAAATTAAAAATTTTTTACATCAAAGATCTAAAATCAAGACGCTTAAAGTACTCATGAATAAATAATTTAATTAGCTTACATTAAAGTCATTTATTGTACCATATGGATATTTAACAGAAGAATTCACATTTACACAATTCAAAACGCTTGTGGTATTAGTATTAGAGAAATTCCCACCAATAGAGAAATTTCCACCATTAGAAGTATTCTCATAAGTGAAACATCCCACCTTTCCTGTTGCATCTCGTACTGTTGAAACAGCCACTACCCAACATAACAAAAGATAAGAAAATGATGTCAAAAAAATAGCTGTAAATGTACCAATCGGAATAGCTTTTTGTGGATCTCTTAAATCACCAGATAGATTTGCACCTGCAGTCATACCAGTAACACCAGAAAAAAATAACGCAAACACATCAAAAAATTTAGTGCCATCTCTATAATCATGAAACAAATTTTTTTTTAAAGATGCAAGATTAATTTGCATAACACCTTTGGACTTTAACTCTTCTCTACTAGTACCAGGTGAAGGATAAAATGCACCTATGGTTGCATTCAGAACACCTAAAACAATAAGCAGTAGCAACCCATTTTGTGTTTTTATTACCCAGTCTAAGCCAATTTGTGTTATAATAAATGTCAAGAAAAGCGTAATAAATGCAATAATTCGAATATCATTTATTTCACTGACCATTGTGATATTTTGTCTCGCTAATATAGACTGAATTGCCTCTCCAAGTCCAACAAAATAAAATCCTATAGAAATAGCATTAGCAAGTGCAAAGACTACTCCAATACTACCACCAAATTTAGGACCAAGTACTCGAGAGATCATATAGTATGCTCCACCTAAAAAAAATATTCAAAAATTACATTAGTTTATACACTCACAAAAATCTACAAAAATATCTTTAGTTCTACACCATGATAAAAAGTGATAGAAACAATTATGCTACACCATGATAAAAATTGATAGAAACCATTATGCTACACCATGTTATAAATCAATAGAAAACATAAATAAGTGCTGCGTGCAATAACAAACAAAAAAACATTGAGCTGCATCATGTCAAATCATATAACAAAATATTTGTTAAGATTAAATTTTATTGAACTGGTAAAATAAAGTAAAAGTGCACAAGTTTATAATTAATAATGTTGAGCAAAATTTATAATTTTGTTTTATCTGGTTAATAAAGATGTGTTTGTTCTGAATCTAATAGTAAAAAAAATGTTCTAACCTTTGGTTTGATTTATACAGGAACCAAAAGAAACACACTAAAAAATCATTTTTACAAAAAAAAAATTTTAGTTAAATTATTTTTAACATTTTTTAGTTTTCTTTTAATTCTATCAGTGTTACCTTACTAGAAAAAACTTTTTTTAATTTTACATAGCTTTGTAATAAATGAGAATTGTAAATTTTGGATAATGGCTTGCCTTTTGTCTACCACGAACAGCTCGTAATTTATGAAACATTTTTCTAAAATGAAGGCATTTGCACCAGAAAAAATTTGAGGAAATTTTTATAGGAAAATTTTTAGCTTTTATTTTGTGACCAAAAAACTGTAAAACTGAATTAAAAAAAAAAGTCTGTAGACCTAAATTAAACATCAATTAGTTTGACTCATAAGTTTTAAATGTTTAATTTCAAACATGAATAATTTTAATAACAGAAAAAATTCATAAAATTAGAGAAATACAAATTTTTTAATGTTCTAAAAAGAAAACGAAAAAAGTTAATCAGTTATTCAATCACTAAAAGATGTTTCTAATAAAATATAAAATTCAGAATCAATATTAAATTCGATTTAAATTAATTAGATTAGGGATCATCAACAAATTATGTTATCCAGGGCTGGATTTACACTTCTAAGGGCCCTAGGATGGGCTATGTTTTGGAGCCTTTTTTATAACTAAAATTTTTAGTGACATTTTTTGTTTTATGACATTTTATATTGGGACTGAGAATGTGTGAAAAAGACAACTATGTAACACATGATATAAAAATAATTAATATAATTTTATTTCCATTTTTATTTAATTTTTACAACAATTTCAAAAAATTCTAAAACTTTTTGACATATTGGGGCCCCTGTAATTGCGGAGCCCTAGGACACTGCCTAGTCAGCTTATTGATAAATCAGACCCTGATGTTATTGTATTACTAACTTGTGGACAACCCCTCATCTAATTAGGGTATATGGGGAAGGGAGGGATTAGTAATTTTGTGACAATTTGTCACAGGGGGATCGAGTTTTTGATTTTGTGACAACATTTTTTTTTAGTTTTAATTCTTGAAAAACCTTTTTTTTGATTGCTTAGAGCGCTTAGCCAAACATAATCCCTCAATTTTTTGTCAACTGCGGCTATTCCAATGAACTTGAATATTTATTAGAATTGACTTTTATTTCAGTAGAATAATATTTCGCTGCATCTACAGCATTATCTATCATTAATATAGCTGGTATTAGTAAGCGACCAGGGCTGACATTTGACCAGGGCTGGATTTGATAAACCATAACCTGGGCTGGGGCCAAGGTTATGGCTATAGGATATGTATATACATAAATATATGGATATGGGATAACAGGATATGTATATATATATGGATATGGAATAACAGGATATGTATATATATATATATATATATATATATATGAATATATATATATATATATATATATATATATGAATATATATATATATATATATATATATATATATATATATATATATATATATATATATATATATATATATATATATATATATATATATATATATATATATAGGCCTCGACGGGAAGAAATAAGTGAAAGAGCGATGAAAAGCTCTCCTAAAACGAACATGACGAGTTATGCGAGCTGCTTCTCTAAGTTCTTTAGACAAGCATTGTTTTTATTGCTTATAAAAAATTTTGTTATTGTAATAGAATGCAGGGATTTTAAGAATTGTTAAAGATAATTATTAAAATGATTGCATTTTTTATTTAAGTTATTTAATTAATTATTAAAAAATTATACTTTTGCGAGAGCCGTAAATTGCTCCCGTAAACCATTTTAGGGAGTCTGGGCGAGGTAAAGAATAAAACTATTTTAACAAAATTAATTTTAAACAAAATCAATTCTTTTTTTAAAAGCGCAAACAGGCAATTGATAATTTTTAATTTATTAAAAAATAATTCATTTCATTGCAATGACTTTGCAAATGGTAGGAAAAGCTGAGCGAAAAATAATGATTAAATAAAAAAAAAGAACAGTTGAGATTATGTTCTTAATTATGTTAATATAATAATTTTAATAATAATGAAATAAATCTCTGAAGTTAAAGAAAAATTTTTGCACATTATATATCTCTTACTCATTAAAATCATTTCAAAAACTGAATGTTAATTAGTTAATAACAATATTATTAACTCTTGTTTGCAGATCTGTTTAAACTGAATATTTAATACTTTAATTGTTTTAAACATTCGTCTTCTTAATATTAAACAATTTGTTTAATGAAACAAATTTTAAAAACTAAATTATAAAATCAAATTTTAAAACATTAAACAATTAGCATAATGAAATACTATAAAAATTATTAAATTTACACAAAACAAGTTTTTAATAATCCTGTTATAAAAAAAATGCGCAAGCGCTCAATCAGTAATTTTAATGTATCTATAAACCATTTATTCATTTATTTGCAATTTGGGGCAAAACTTACAAGAAAATAAATAAAAAGATTCAGAGAAAAATAAAACAAATTGACTAATGCAGATGAAAGAAAAAACATTTATAGTTAAATACATAATTTATTATATATTATCATATTATTAATAAAATAATTTATAAAATTTTTATATTAAAAAAGTAATAAAATGAGAACTTCAATTATTTAGGAAATTTTTACCATTTTAAAATTTTTACCATTGGTAAAATAGATTTTTACCATTAGTAAAATAAAATTAATTTAATTAAGTGAAGCAAAAAACTTAATGATTATAGTTTATGTCGTTACGTATACATTATGTACGTAACATGCAATACTTTTGTCAACAAAGCAAATTAATGAATGAGTTCAGCCAAATATGAGCCACCCAAATATATATATATATATATATATATATATATATATATATATATATATATATATATATATATATATATATATATATATATATATATATATATATATATATATATATTTCTCGCTCTCGTCCACACTTCCCTAAAACGGTTTACGGGAGCAATTTATGCTCTCGCAAAAGTATAATTTTTTATGAAAGTATAATTATCGTTGTAACTAAAATAAAAAATACAGAGTCATTTAAAAAAAATTAGTTGCATAATATCCTGATATATATATATATATATATATATATATATATATATATATATATATATATATATATATTTATATATATATATATATATATATATATATATATATATATATATATATATATATATATATATATATTTCTCTCGCTCTCGTCCACACTTCCCTAAAACGGTTTACGGGAGCAATTTATGCTCTCGCAAAAGTATAATTTTTTTATGAAAGTATAATTATCGTTGTAACTAAAATAAAAAATACAGAGTCATTTAAAAAAAAATTAGTTGCATAATATCCTGATATATATAATATATATATATATATATATATATATATATATATATATACATATATATATATATACATATATATATATATATATATATATATATATATATATACATACATACATATATATATATATATATATATATATATATATATATATATATATATATATATATATATATATATATATATATATATATATATATATATATATATATATATATATCAGGGATGTACAATCGCCTGAAAGTAACAGATGACCAAATTTTGTGAAGGGCAGCTAAAAATATTTCTTTGATGCAATTAAGTTGCCTGAATGGGCGACTATTGATTTTTATGAGCAGTTATAGTTTTTGTTTTTTTTCAATTTAAAAATTCTATAAAAAGAAAAGTAACTATCTAATATAAAAATAAAACTACTTTTTTAAAGCTACAGTGTCAAAGTTTGTTTTCTGCATTTTTTTATTATTAATTAGAACATAAGAAAATTGTATGAGTGTTTAAACGTATTTAATAAAACAATACTAAATATAATAACTTCCTAAGTAAATACTAAAAAATTTTATTGTTCAAACAAAAATACTACTTTACTTTTTTACAAGTTTTTTGAACTAAATTTGCAAAAAAAAAAATTCTTACATTCCTTCAAAACAAATAAAAATTCATAAAAAAAAGTTTTTGCCTAACCAAACGCTTCCAACGTTTACAATATGATTTACATTTAAACTGAACACTTTCAATATTCTTTGGCCTTGATAAGAAGGGTTACGCTTTTCTTTTCTTTACAAAGACAAAAAAAGAATTTTTCAAAGAAAAATTATACATGATTTTAAAAATTTTAATTTATTTTGAAGGATTGTAAAATAGTAAAACATTGAATAACGAATTTAGTTTCAAATGAATGTAAAATAGTTTTGTAATTTTAATTAAAGTTTTTTTTTAATCGTCTAATAACTACTTTCCTTTGACTTAACAGGTTTAAGAACATAAATTATGTTAACAAATATTTTATTGGTAACTGAAAAAATCAATCTATATTTTGTTTGTAACCTTTATTAAAAATACTACATTAAATACCTTAAAATTAAAATATATAAATTCTGATAAACAAACAAAAAATTATGTTAAGTATAAGATTGTTTTAAGAAATAAATAAGGAAATATAATCTCTTTCAAATACCGAATTTAGATTCAATAAATAATTTTTGTTAAATTAATTTAAATAGTTTTTAGCT